AACATGAATTATTTTATAAATTTCATAATTTTTATAAATTTTGTAAAATAAACTTATGAATTTTATAAACTTTGTAAAATAAAATTTCATAAGTTTTGAAACATTCTTTCTTTACCTGCTTACTTGCATGTTACCCCCCCAAATGTGAGCGCAGGCGCACAGGCACCGGCTGTCGCGCAGGGGAGGGAGCGGACACCTGCTGGCGCCCAGTAAACGCGTCTCGGCCAGAGCCGCGGGCTCCGAGCAGCTGCGCCTGGGGCGCCCTCGCGGCTCCTTCGCGTGACCCGCGCTGGGCCAGCGGTGCCTCGCTCCGCCCGGGGGCCCTGGCGTGTGGGCGCCTCGGGGCGGACGCCCTGGAGCCCGCGCTCGGCTTGGGACCGGTGAGCTGCTTATGGAAGGGCCGGGAGGGCCCGGCCCTCCCGATCCTGAGCTCTTGCTGGCGAGAACCGCGCGGAGTCCACACGCGCCGCCCTTGAGTCGGGCCCTGCCCTGTGACTGGCACGTGCGACCCTACTTCAGGGGTCCCCAGCAGCCCACAGGGCTGCGGAGACCCCCGAGGCTGCAGCCGGGTTCAGAGAGCAAAGGTGCAGCGGCTGACGGTGGCCTGCCCGGCCGTGGCAGGAGGCGAGGGCGGAGCTGGGGCTGGAGGCGCAGGTTGCTCACCTGCGGAGAGGGCCTTGTCGCGCCTTAGGCTCTCGCCCTCTTTCTTCAGGGTTGTGATTTCTGAGTTCCTCTCCGACAAGGTCTGGCACAGCACTTGGCTGTAGCCTTTCTGGAGGGCGCTGACCTGCGGAGAGGAACGCGGTGAGAGGCCCGCTGGGTCTGCCAGAGGCTCGGCCCTTCTCCCGGGCCGGGCGGGGGCATCTGCACTGGTCTTTGGGGTCTTTTTAGCTTTCACTACGGAATGGGACAGCAGAGGGCGCGGTCAGTGTCCACCAGTCTATATTTTTGGGCCCACGAAGGGGCTTGGTTATATATCATTAACCAATATTTAATATTAATATTTAACTATTAATAAATCATAAAATTAATTCCTTCTAATAATAACAATAGCTTATTTTCCTAGGAATCCCTTCCTCCGCCCGCGTACGAAGCGCATCCACAGTCTCCTCGTTAAACGCGAATCTTGCTCCCGGGCGAGCGACGATGTCGGCTGAGCCGCGGGCTCGCCACCAGATGGCGCCACCAGACAGCCCCTGCTCTTGGCTGCTCCCTGAGAATCTTGTCAATTTTGCTGTGGTAGAATTAACCGAAGCATCAGGATGTCACAGGTTTTCTGACTCACTTCTTGCGTCCTGGTGGTTCAGGTTCTATGTTATTTGGGGCAGTTATGCTTCCGTTTCCCCCGGGGCACCTGAGACACCGAATGACTTTTGAAAAACCACCAGCTCTTAGCCTAACACGTCTATTTTCATGATACCACACAGAGAGAAGATTCCAGAAGGGATGGGCAAGTAGGCGCACCGCGCTCGAACTCGGTGCTTCCGACAGATGTCAAATATTTCAATCCAAGTGCCAGAGTTTTAGGATTTCAAATTGTGGTAAAATTCCAAATCATCCTGAAACATCTCCATCACTCTCATCACCCCCCCACCCCCCAGTAAATACAAAGTTACGGCCTTTCATTACTGTAAATTCCAAGATAGCTAATGTCGGTTTTGCTAGGTCAGAAAATGGACGCTGACTCCCCTAAGAAAGTTAGCGTCAGGAGAAGGACTTGTCTCCAGGAGGTAGCGGGCTGCTGATTAGCCCTGGGCCTGGGAGCAAAGTCAGTAACCAGGGCAATAAATGGACCTGCCGGGTGGTGATCCCGCGGCCGAATGATCTGCAGGCAGAGAATACTTCTGCAGCTAGAATTTGCGGGACAATGTGGGACCAGTCCAAAGCAATTGCAGCCTCTAGTCCAGAAACGCCTTGTTCTGAATGGTTCTGGGGGTGAGTGAAGACCCGGGCCCCGGGAGGCGACAGGATGATGAATCAGGGCCATTAGTCCTGGATAATTTCTTTGGAAAACATTTTCCCCAGCAATCATTCACCACTTTAAACAATACTCAAAGGGTGACCCGCTGGTACAGCAATGCAGGGACTGTTCCTCTTTGTTCCTGCTCCTGGACCAGACACCCCACTTAGGCTCAGGAAAGCTCTAAAGCCAGAAGATGACCAGAGGGGTTAGTTCTCCAGCCACTGAAAAATGGGGTTCAGACTGGAAAAGGGTGCTTACCAAGGGGCTATGGCTGTTTGTGGGGGTAGCTCCTATGGCGCTCTGCCTTTGCTGTTTTTTCAGACAATGAAAGTCAAGACAGTCATTTGTTGTTTTAAGTATTGGAGCATGGAAATGTCTGCTTGGTCATTTTGTCTCCCTCACTGGTAAGTGACCGCCGGGAGGCAAGGATCAGGTCTGCCTGGTTTTTGCTGGATTCCCAGAGCCTGGAAGTGGCCTGCCACAGGACTGGCACACACAGTAAATATCCACTTGGATGGATGAATGGAAGCTTACATTCTCCTGGGAGAAGCTCCTAGGTTTACGACATACAACCTGTGTCCTTTTTAGGGCGCCATCTCTAGGACTCCAACTGACCCGGTCCCAGGAAGAAAGGCAAGAAACAGGGAGCCAGAGAGCAAAGGCCTCACAGTAGCCAGGGTTAGGCAGCACCTGCACCGAGGTCAGAATTCACAGCGGCCAATTTCTTTTTCATCAACTCGTTGAGATGTACTCCAGCTATAAGATCAGCAGCCAAGGTTAAAGCGGTTCTCGAAAAAAATAGTGTTTGGATCTAGTTTCAAGAGAAAAGCCCATGGCTGCTAAATCCAGACATTCCAGGTGGGGAATTCTTGTTTGATGAAATTCCCCATGAGAAAGCCAGCAGCAGCCTTCAGGGGTTGGAAGACACTGAGTGGGGCAGGGAGCTTCCTTGTCTTCACCTCCAGCTGCTAGCCCACAGCTTGATCTGGCTGGGATGGGGTGGGGGCGAGAGGTGGTCATGGCAGGGAGCGTGGAGTCTGCCAGGAGGCAGACTTGGTTTGGAACGGCATCATTTCCGCTCCCCTGCTGTGCAAGCCTACCAAGTTCGGGGGTCTCTGAGCCTCCCTCGCTCTTGTGGAATGCTCTGTGTCGGCTCAAGCCGATGCACGGGAGCCTGACCTCACCGCTTGCATGTAGCAGGCGCTTTCAAAACCCGAATATTCTTGTAGGCTCAGCCCTTGCCAGGGCCCTAATCCCAGGGTGATGCGTGTTAATCCACCTCCCTACGCTGACTCATCCTTCCCTAACTACCTGGGCGGCTCCTGCGGACTCACCTGGGAGCTGTCACCTGGGCGGTTACTTTAAGGCCCTGACTGGCCTCTGAGTCCTACCTGGTTTTTCAGGCTCTGGATCTCTTTCTGTTTGGCACTGATGTCTTCATCCAGAACCACCTGTGAGACCACCCTCTCTTGTCTGGAGGTGACTGACTCCGACAGCTTTTGACTCAGGTCGGCCAATTCGTTCTGCAGATTCGCTATCATGGCGTCTTTGTACTTGGATTCAAGTTCAAAATCTGAGAGCCGGCTGACTTCTTTCCCCAGCAACAGAATTATTTCGTCCTGGGTGGAGGTCAGAAGGGAAGTTTACTAGGTGGGGGTCTGGGTGCAGGGCTGAAGCCATTCAAGAAAATGTAGGAAAAATACCCAGGGATTCTTTCGGGAAGGTGAAGGCAGGGAGAGAGGTAAGGCCAGACTTTCATGGCTGTGTCTGTTATGTGGAAAAGCTCATTGAAGTAAGAATTTGGTTAAAATAAGGCACTGGGCCCCTCCCTGGTGGTGCAACGGGTTAGGACACAGCACTGTAAGCTAGCAGCAGCCGCTTCAGTGCGAGTTCAATTCCCGGCCCCGGAGGTGACCACATGGCGCGGCAGACCTCTCCTGACCCGCCCGCTGCTCCCCTCAGCAGTGGACTCGTCTGTCTGCCTGTTCTGCTCCCCACTCTGTCTTTGGTGAAGTCTCTCGCTGCCCCTGCGCCTCTGGCCTGTACCCCAGTTCTGTATGCATAAATAATAAATAAATCTTTAAAATACAATAAACTCCTGTCAAGGCTGTTTATACGTCACTGGTGCAGAAATTTGCTTTTTGCCTAAAATTATGCTATCATATGGATAATTACCTTTTTACTTGGGAACTTTGGTTGCTAGAAAGTTAACTGAGGTTATTTTTTATTTATAATATCCAGTCCAGTTCACAGGGGAAAAGTACCTAGGAAGATGACAATCTCCTTCATCACCTTCTGCTTATAATGAGGGCTACTTTTTAATTTAAAAACTTTAACATGTTCTGAAATCATGCTTTCTCCCTTTCCTCTTTTCTGGCACTCTCTGCCTTTTGTGAGTATAAATAAAAATTTATTCCAGGTAACTGAAGCTGGGAAGTAATGAGACAGAAATGGCCATTTGTTCGTGTGGCTCATACAAACTTTAGACTGGGAGGAAACTTGCTGACCGACTTTGCCCACAGGTATAACAAACTAATGAAGTTTGCAACTAAATAATGTGATATATCGCAAAAGACCCCAAACTTCTTACTGGAAGTCATCAATAAAATGTCAGAAGGACTGAATAACCCCCCAAATTTTAAGGTAGCCACAGAATTCTGCTTTGAAAGGGCTTCCCACTCTTGCAACGGTTTTCCACCAGGTGGAAGGAGCTAAAAGGTCAGTTTCCAGCCAGCTCATGGCCTGGGGGGCCACCCGGGCAGCCTCAGGGGCTTCTAGCTCCCTGACCCGAGGAAGGACAGGGTACAGCCCTGACTGCCTCCAGCTGGTATTGCTGCAGGGGTCTTTCCATGGGGTCCTGGCAAATGTTTGTAGCAAAAGTTCAAGGACAAGGTCAAGTAGACTCCATCCTCCCAGGCAGCCCCATTCCACCCAATTATGCCTTCCCAAGCTTCCAGGTCAGTCAGGTGCTTATCAATTATTCATTGCCAAGTAGCTACTATTTCCTCTGTCCTGGGCCCAGGGGGCGGAAGGAAGCCTGCAGGGTTTGGTTTCTGCCTTTTCAGCGCCTTCCTTGTGCTCTTGGTGGGTCTGTCAGTCATACCCTGCTCCCTCCCAGGCCCCCTCCCTACGTCTAAGACCCATCAAAGATTTCACATATTGGTTCCAGGAAAGGCTCTTGTCTTCCATTGAAGCATGGACATTGCATTCCTATGCTTGTGCCCTTGAACTTGTCCTTTCCAACATGAGAAGCCAGCCTGCTGCAGAAAGCCAAACTCCAAGGGAAACAGAGAGGAGAGGTTGGTAGGAGGTGGGGATTATGCTGACAACATCATTTCAGCTCCTGGATCTAGCCCTACCTGAAGCTAGCCAATGTTTACATTTTCTAGTAGCTAAATTAATACATGCCAAAAATAAACTTTGGCTTAAGCTAATTTTTTTTATTGCCACTTGCACTTGCAGTTGGCCCTCTGGAGCACAATAGCTCACCAACAGAAAAAAAGGAAAAAATGTGATTGTATTATGCTTATAGTTTAACAACGGGGCTGGATTAAAATACGAAACAAATTCTTTGCAGTTTCTGCTCGCAAGCGGTGGAGTCTATTGTCCTTGCTCCTTAAGTCTGGGCTGGCCCTGTGACTTGTTTGACCAAGAGAATTTGGTGGAAACGAAGTAGAACAATCTCTAGACAAGTTCTTAACAGGCTGTACAGCTTCTGTCTGGCCCACGATGAACCCCAAGACCACCATATTATGAAGACACTGGGTGGAAAGCAAGGTGCAGTGAGGACCCACAATTCAGGCATCTGGGCTGAGGCCCCAGACCTGGGGGTGAAGTCACGCGAGACCACTGACCCAACTGGCCAATGGTTACGTGAATGAGACCAGGGGACACCTGAGAAGAAATGTCTAGTGGGGTCCCCTGTAGATCCTGGGAAATCGAGCTTGCTGCTTTAAGCCACTTGGGGGTCCTGTATAATGCAGCAAGAGATGACAGATGCAGCATTTGACTGCCTCCCCCTTAGGGCAACAATCCCCAAGCCTGACACCTGTGTCAGAGCCTCGTGCAGCCTGAAATCGCGGTTTCCAGGAGACACGCGCTCCGGGCCGCTCTGCTCCTTAGTCTGCGAAGCTCCCACAGCCCAGGCCCTGGGCCTTCAGGCAAGCTTGCTGGTTTTCAGGTGGAGCAACCAATGGTTCCCTTTCCAGGACTGCTCAAGATCACCCATTCTGTTTTCTGTTCCTGTTTCACTCTCTGAGTCTCTCTGCTGCTTTAACAAGCTTTTCTTGGCTCACTGCTCTCTGGCCTCAGCGTTTACTTCTTCATGTTAGCACATTTCCCCACCGCCAGTCCATCGCCCGGGGTTGACCCAGTGGTTGCTGTGTGGGAGTTAGAGGCCCCGGCTGGGAGTTAACTAGACCTGGGCTTGAATTCCAGCCGTCTCCCTCACACTGTGCAGCCTCAGCAAGTCACTTCGCTGCTCTGGACTTTTGTTTCCTTGTCTGTGGAACCAGGGTGATGAAATCTGGGTTGACGAGGTGAAGATTAAACAAGTTAATTGAATATCACGCGTGCGGGACATGTTGGGCACCCTGCAGGTGCTTACTACTTTGTGGCTGTGGATGTTGTTCTCTGGGATAAAATAAGCAGTTACCAAACTTTTGGTGGCATGACCTGGGAGCTAGGGGTGGTTTCTCGGAAACAGTCACACAAGAGAGAAATGCCGGGTCACAGGTAACAAGAGCCGGTGGTGGGCTCCCCTTGCTGCATAGCTCTGTCCTGCCCCCAAGACCCCTCCCCTCACCTTTTCATGCTGGCTCAGGTCCTGTTCCATATAAATCTCCCTGGGAATTCCTGCTCCAGGAATTTCCTCAGTCACTGATGCTTCCGACAGGTCCATGGCACTGGCCCACACTAACACACGAGATCGACAGACAGCACAGAGGAGACGGTGAGTTTCCCTGGGGCCTTGAGAACATTTCAGGTTAACCTGCACAGGTATTTCCCCTGAGATTTGCCTCTTATGTAATTAAAAGGTACACGGTGGTACATATTCACAGAAAGCCAGTGAAAGCATTGCAGAAAAGGTGAAAAGTAAAAGCACTGAAAGAAAAGAAAAAAAAGAGAAAAGAAATGAAGGAAAAGAAAAGAGGAGAAAAGAAAAGAAAACAAGTCACCTCATTCCTCTTCCTAGAGTTATTTGGTTCACCGTGAGGGGTCTCTTTAGTCTAGACTTTTTCTCTGCCACATAAGAGCTTGGGGAAGGGAGAGAGCCACACTTACTCAGACCACAGCTGACATCAGGCTGTAGCCCAGCTACCAGTGTGATGCTCACTTGGTAACTGAAGTGACAGAAGCCAAAGGTTAGGAAGACACCCAGGCCTCCTTAGAAGACATCGCTTCCTCTCTGACTTCTTCTGACTCTAAGCCTTGCAGGAGTTAGGTTTAGTTAAAACACATCTACCCACACCCATATGTACCTAAACCTACATACACCTCTTCTTAACACTGGGGTTCACCCTGGAGGAGGAGGGGCAGAGAGAAGACTCAGGAAAACAAACCAGAAGGAGCTGATGGCCCTGGACAGGTCATTCACTCTTAAGTCTATTTTCCAGATATTTCGCTTAGGGACACTGTTATGAAGGGCTACTTGAACACTACATGAAATAATAATGTACAGCTGGGGTTGGTAGATTATGGCCCTATGGCCAAATCTGGCCCTCTGCTTGTTTTTGTAAATAAAGTTTTATTGGAACACAGCTGCGGTCATTTATTTACATTTATTTGCAGATGTTTTCCAGCTACAAAAACAGCTGACTAGTTGCCAGAAAGAGCCTAATATACACTAAGTCTAAATATTTACTGTCTGGCTCTACCACAAAATATGATTGGTCATTGATGTAGACCACTGAGCACTAAATGTCAGCATTTTTTATTGCAATTATGTCTTTAAAAAAACCAGAAATAGATTTACATTACAGAGATTTTTCTCCAGCTTGGTTTTCACTTGATAATATATCAAAAACACCTTCCATTGTCTGCAGTTATACTGTATTTTTTTTTAAAAGCAGTCCATTGTGCAAGACTGTCAAAGTATATTTAACTAGGATCTACTAGATAGACATTTAAATTTTCTTGATTTTTTTCTAAATTAGCATCAATATTACTAGGACTGTTTATATGATTTCCAGGGGGCTCTGGTATTGTTTTAATTGGAGGTTCCATTGTTCATCACATCAAACATATCACATCTCACTTTTTTTAGTGTTGAAACTTTTGAATGTGATTTCTGTAATTCTGTTTTTGAGATGGCATGGCCCAAGAGGTATATTTTTAATTTTCAACTGATTATGATATCTGGGCAATGGCTATGCATTCTTGTCTTCTTACAAGTGAGAAATTGAACCAATTGTTTTCAAAGGTAATGAAACATTAATGCCCATTAACATTAATAACTAATGAGGTTGCACTGACGCATTTATACATATTACTTCATGCATTCTTTCTGATTTTGCATTTTTAAAAATGTAGTTTGGAGCCAGTGAGTTTTCCTTCAGGTCCCAAACATGTCCATGGCCTCCAGGCCCACTGGTGGACATAGCCAATGGCCTTGGTCCTGGGGAAGTTGCAGTTCTGCTTGTTAATCACTGGCCCTGGGCAGGACTCTCAACCACTTCACTGTCTATGCCAGAACAGGCTGGGGTCACAGGAGAGTTCTGATTTTGCATTTCAATGGGTTGGGTTTCTTAGTTGTTTCTCAAAACCAATAAAACCAAACAATCCAATGAAACTCTTCCCAAAGGAAACAAGAAAATTCCCTCAGTTATGTCCAAGCCATTTACCACCTGTGCTGGCAGACACATCCAAAGTCAGACACCACATTTTCTTTATTCATTCACCCATCCATAGACACTTAGGTTGTTTCTATATTTTAGCTATTATAATGCTGCAAACACTATGTGGTGCACTTATTTTGTTAATTTTTTTGTTCAGAAAAACTTTGTTTAGTTCAGTCCCCTCCATTACCCCCTGTGTGCTGAGAGCTGCATCTTAACTGACTACTGCAGAGTTGTCTAATAGAAAAATAATGCATGCTATGCAGTGCAATTTGGAATTTCCTAGTAGTCACATTAAAAAGGAGATAAAATTAACTTTAATAACTTTTTATATAACACATTAAAATATTATCATTTCAACATATAGTCAGGACCAAAAAAACAGATATTTTACATTCTTTTTCTTTTTAAGTACCAAGTCTTTGAACAGGCTTATTTTATATGTGTGCTGCATCTCAATTTGGAAGCTAAATTTTCAACGGAAGAATTTGATCCATATTTAGACTTTACAAAAGCTGATAGTTGAAAAAGGAGAATCACATTTCCAAAATGCTCCAAGCCTGTTTAAAACCTTCTGATAACTGATTAGGGGTCAGATTTTCAATTTTAATTAATGAAAATGAACCATTTAGCTCCTCAGTCGTGTTTACACATGGCTGTTGGCCATGGTCCTAGAAAACACAGACCTAGAACCTTTTCCTGGTTCTCCTCCTTCTTTACTGACTACATCCTTTCTGGCCAACATATATAACTGGATATAAAAAAGTGAATAGGGGATAAATGAGTTTTAAAAATTAACCTTTAAAATAAATATAAAAGGGGAAGCATCTCAATTCAATTTTTTTTGCTGTTATATTTATATAATGCTATCAATCAGTAAGTCAAAGTATTATTAAGTCAAAGTATTAAGGAAGGAAAGAGCTACCTAATTAAAAATATACAGTATACTAGGAAGACATCACAATTTCAAATATGCATGCACCTAATAACACCACTTCAAAATAAAAAAAGCAAAAACTACCAAATTGTAAGATGAAATGGAAATCTCTATAATTATCATGAAACATTTTAATATTTTTCTCTCCATAATTAATAGATCAAGTTAATAAAAAATGTAACCGAAGATGGGAAAGATCTGAACAGCTCAATCAGATTGATTTAACAGACAAATGTAAAGCCCAGCAATTAATGATGCATGAACAGCATCTAATTTTAAGCATATATATATTTATACACATATACATACATACACACACACACAAACACACACATATAAACTAGCAAAACAAATCTAACCACACACTTAAAAGCAAAAGCTACTTTTATGGTCAGGCTTGACAGTAACATTCCCTTGAGTTTGGACTAATGCTTGTCACAGGTCTGTGACTTATTGAAAAACTATTCTGCATAGTCTATTTGATGCTCTGTTTGTGCAGGTCATTCAATTTTCAACCTAGGGAGGTCTTTATCCCTAATCAGGAGCCCTAATGTGGGTGTGGGGCGGGGGCTGGACACTGTTCCATCTGACAGAGCTGCAGCCCCACTGAAGGCTCTCCTTCAACTGCAGGCCAGAGGTGTGTTTTTATTGGCAAAAATGGTGGTCTATTACCTGTTACACTGAGTGATAGAAATGGACTCCCAAAAGTTGAATGGAGGCTTCTGTAGAAAGGCTGAGGTACATACAGGGGGTCTGAACCCTCCAGGCTCCCTGTATCATCTCCATTAGCTCTACTGCCTGAAGCCATCTCTAGGGGTAACTTCAGACACCTCTGGGACCCTGGTGCCTTGTGTGACCTTTCTCTGCAAAGTGATGGCTGAGTCCTTCAAGCACAGCAGAGGCCAAATGACACCCAGAGTCTGTGTGTGTGAAGGGTACATGAGTGGACAAGGAGCCATGACACTCTCTTCTTTAGGCCCAGTCAGGGAGGTGCCTGGCAGTTACTCTTCTCCACTCCCAAATTCCTTTACTAGCTGCTGTTAATTATCAGAAAAAACCTAAGGTCTATGTGTGACCAAATTGGCCGGAGGCCATTGACAACAAATGCCTCAGGGTTCCATTGGGGAGAATCTGAGGGAGGGCCAGGAGGGCCTGGCAGGCATGGGGACAGAGGTGCTCTAAGAAGCTTCCAGCTGTTGCCATTTGCCAAAATTCCAGTCATCTGATCTCTCTGGTACTTATCAACAAATGACCAGCCCTCATCAGGGGAGCTTTGTATACCTCAACTGTGCCTTTGGGATTTGGGGTATCTCTCTACACATTGGAAGTCATGACTACAAGATAATAACTTCATAATGAAGACTCAGTATTCATGCAATGTTCATTATGGGCCAGGCACGTGGCCCGGCACTTACACTCAAGATCCCATTTCATCTGATGACAACCCCACAAGATAGGTCTTATTATTACCATCTGTCCTATAAATGAGGGACCATAGGCACAGAGATGTCAAGTCACTTGCCCAAGGTCATACAGCTAGTATGTGGCAGAGTCAAAGTTTAAATCTATGTTTGCTGGGTTCAGAGCGTATGGGCTCAGCCATCATGCAATGAGTTTATTGGAATGGGAAGATGTTCGTGATGAATTAATTACTGAATATTAAAAAGTAGGTTGCTGATGTTAGGTCCAAATGATTCTCTTATTGGGAAAAATACAGTACATCAGGATATTTTAAGAAGTCACCCCACAGAATTTCTGTTCTTAACAATCCTTCCTCCCCCCCTTCCATAAACTCTTGCCACTAAGACTTGGCCCAGGTGCTGAGTTTTTATTGCCCATGGAAGGAGGAAGGTGACAACTAAGTGTGGAAGGGTGGTTCTTCCCCCGCCTGGAACAGTCTGTGTGTGAGGAAACTGAGGTTTCTTGCCAACAGCCATGTGCCAGTCCCACCTTGGAAGTAGATTCCCCAGGCCCTGGTCAAGCCTTCAGATGACTACAGCATACAGAGCCCCCAAGCCACCACCATCCTTCTAAGCTCCGCCAAATTCCCCACCCACAGCCACTGTATATAACAATGCATGTTTCCTTTTATTTGCTTTAGAGTGCTGAGCTTTGGGAAAATTTGTCATGTGATATTCGATAACGGATACACATTGTGTGTTAATTTTACATCCAAAGTCAAATACTATCTCGCTGTTGTTCAGATGCTAGAATATTTAGAAGGAAGACTGCAGATCAAATCACACCTGTGATTTATTTTGAAATACATCATAAGTAAGAGGGAATCATGAACGAATATGAGGATGTCAAGACAGGTAGATTTGCTGTTTAGAGTATAGCAGCAACAACTTAATGGCAGAATTAGGTGTGGGGTTCTCTGCAAAATTCTTTGATTTACTGTGTATTGATAATTTTATATGGAAATGTTGGGGGGAAATGACTGAATAACTTCTTAATTTGGAGGAGTGATGACATGAAGATTCCTTTCACGACAGTGACATCATCCGATTTCACATACTCCTGGGTTTGTGCGTTATAACTGTTCTCTCAGTGGTGAGGAAGGCAAAGTGGTGCGTGTTCCTGACAAGACCAGGGAGGGTGTGGAGCCCGCTAGAGAGCTGAGAGCTCCTCAGAGGGGCCTGGGGCTGGGGCACTGAGGGCAGAGAACGGGGCCTCTGATGTGGCGGGGACCCAGGAGCCACACGGGGGGCTAAGTCACCGGCAACTCCACATGGAGGCTGAAGAGGCCAAGAGGAAAGCGACAGTGGGAAACCTTCCCAAATGCCACTGGGGCCCCAAGGGGGTGTGGGGGAGGAAACCCTGAGGCTGTATGAGGCCCCAGTGACCAGGTTTGAGTGACAGTCACAGAAAACCAGCCTTAAGTCTGACTGGTGAACATTAGATTAGGGTAATTTTCCTCAGCAACCTCAGATTCTTCTCCCCTGTAAAATGGTAATAAAGCATTTACACCCCTCCTGGGGCTGTCGTGGGCAAGGGGGGTTTCAGTGGCAGATCTCAGTGTCTGCACATCTGAGACCGTGTGCAAATATGGACCGGCTACACGTTCCCCTTGAAGCACACACTCACACACACACATTCCTCTCAGAGCGCACACTCACATGACACACTCCTCTCAGAGCGCATACTCACATGACACACTCCTCTCAGAGTGCACACTCACACACACAGCGGCTACACATTCCTCTCAGAGTGCGCACTGCTCACACTCACACAGGCTACACATTCCTCTCAGAGCACACTCACATGCACACCAGCTACACGTTCCCCTCTCTGTTTATCCTGTTCTCTGCCCACCCCTCCACCCCCCAACAATTGTCTAGGTTGTTTTTAGAATCAGAGAAAATGAGCAAAGTCCAAAACCCATTCTCATGGCTCTTGTCCCCTCACCCCCTGCCCCCCCCAACCGAGAAGCCTGGGGATACCTTGCTTGATGAAGGGAGCCCCCTGGGAGCTGTCCATCATGAAGGAGAACATCTTCCCTCCGGTGCTCACAGGCCGCTGTCTGGGGGCAGGTGGGACCATGCTGGGCCTGGGGAACCCCTGGGACCAGCTCCTCTGCATGGGGGCTGGCCGGGCGCCCTGATGGAAGGGCGTCTGCGGTGGTGAGGGAGACTTCTTTGGCTGCTGAGTGGCCCGAGGCGGCTGTGACCTTGACCAGAGAGTCGGGCCATGCATCCATGGGAAGAAGGCCTGCAGGGGCAGACAAGCAGACCCGGGAGGTTACAGCCAGCTGAGGCAGTCTCCACCCCTTGACCCATATCACTGCTGTTATAAGTCACTTCCTCCAGGAAGCCCACCCGGACTGGTTGTAAGTTGTGGGTGGTGTCCTCTACTCTGGGCCACACTGCACATGGCCACACCACCTTTCCCAAGGTGCACTTTACGCCGGGCACCCTACCGAGAGGCTCACACGCATAGTCTGGTGCTCTGGGGTGAACAAGGCCTGGTGACCGTCCCTGGGCCACACATCCAGAAGTGAGTCGGTTGCTGAGTGGGTCACAGGTCACCTCTGAGTGGACAGGGCCTCCTCGCCCACTGTGCTTGCCACTGTGTCCCAGCAGCTGGCACATGCAGGGCAGGTCCTCACCTGCTGAGTGAGTGGGCAGTAACTGGGCGCTGGGCCAGCGCTCAGAGCCGCGGCCTGCTCTCCACCTGCACTCCAGGCTCTCTGGCTTTTAGGCTCCATTATCCCCAAAGTCCAGTGCTCTGAATGGCAGGGCCCATTCAGAAGGTCTTGCTAGTCTTTGCGCTCAGCACCCAGCGCACCCATTCCTGGCAGGCGCTCTGTAAATATCCGTAGGTGATAGCATCACCTGACCGGGGGAGGTGGCTGCCCTTAAGTCTCAGTGGACAGCACCTAGATCCCCGTGAGCCGTGAGAGGCGCGGCTCGGAGGGCTGGGCCTGGCTTCCGTCTCCTGTGAAAGCTCTCTGGGCTGTTTTCCTGGTGCCTGTTGGTGAAAGGCGTCATCGCCTGCAAGGCAGAGGCTTCCTTACTCCTTTTATAAGCGAGGCTTGGTGAGGTGCGGGAGTTTCCCCAAGTTCAGGGAGATGTGGAGAGGAAACGGGGTCTGGTTTGGTGACTTCTCTCCTCCCTGTGTCTGGGTCTCTCTCACCGACCCTCCCTCCCCACAATCTAAGTTCACAGGTGTGCCGCCTATGTCGGGGGCCTGCTCTCCTTTGTCCATCACACATTTGTCCATCTCCCTCCCGCTGCCCCGAACTTGTTGGTGATAAGGAAATGGGCAGGGGCAAGCGCAAGAAAAAGAGTCACATGAAAAGCGAGGCTGGACTTCTGGACATCAGAAAGCCCTGGAAGGGGCCTCCCTCATGGTGCAACGGCTTAAAGCGCAGCACTATGAAGTGGTCTGCAGCGATGCAGCACCAGTTCGATCCCGGGCCAGGGAGTGACCCACAGGGCGCAGCAGACTGCTCCTGACCGCCCACTACAGTGTGTTTCAGGCGATCGGCCTGTCCTGTTCCCCACTCTGTCTCTGGCGAATCCTCTCACCCCCTGCACTCTGTTCTGCACCCCAGTTCTTAAAAAAAACAAAAAAAAAAAAACAAAAAAAACAAAAGAAAGGGCCCTCCCTGGTGGCGCAGCGGGTTAAAGCACAGCACTGAGAAGCTAAAGCCGCTTCCGCATGAGTTCGATCCCCGCCTGCCCCGGAGGTGACCACATGGCCTGGCAGACCTCTCCTGACCCGCCCGCTGCTCCCCTCAGCAGTGTACTTCATCGATCTGCCTGTTCTGCTCCCCACTCTGTCTCTGGTGAATCCTCTCACCCTCCACATCTCTGGCCTGTACCCCAGTTCTATATGAATAAATAAATAAATCTTTAAAAAACAAACAAACAAAAGAAAGTCCTTGCAGCTTGGAGCCGGGGGTCAGGGTCAGCTAACCAGTCTTTCGATACTCCAGTCCACATCTTCCTTTCCCTCTTCCTTCCCTCATCCTCTTACCCTATGTTCCAGGGTTCTTTATGACTTTGTTATTGAGGAAGCATATGTTATATTTCTGATTTCTTCCACTCTACCTTTAAAACAGCAGGTTGCCAGCCACCTGGGTTCAGGAGGACCACGCCAGCTGATGTGTGTATAATAAGCTTGAACAAACACCAGTCAGTCAATGATTTACTCAAGAAATCATATAGGGTGCAGGTTGAATGGGGCAGGCCACCTGGACTCTGTGAGGGAGGCCCGGAGGCTGGGGAGCAGGTGGGGAGCCAGGACTGGCTCTTGGAGAGTTTATTGAGCACCCGCCCTTTGCGAGTAGTTACCAAGACCCTGGCAGCTGAGGGTCACCGTGGAGAGAAGCCACCAATTATAGAGCCCATGCTTAACATACGTGACCCCACCCCATCACCAGAACAGTCTCGGACGAGGAGAGGCATTTTTACCCCTGTTTTTTTGAATTAAGAAACTGAAGCTCAGAGAGGTTAAGTGACTTGCCCAAGGTCTCTCAGCCAGATGTGGGGATGCTGTTTGACTCCAAGGTCTGTGTTCTCGGAGCTTCTAGGTTACTAGAAGTCATGATTTATGCCTCCTTTCCATACTGGCAAAAGAATCTTAGGTGAAGAATCAGAGATTTTCTGAGTTAAAAAAAAATTAGGAGCACTAGATAGTGTGAGAAAACACAAGCACATTGGTCACTTGGAAAAAGGATTATCCAGGAGTTCGGCAGCTTGCTCACAGAAGTGTCATTAGTATGCTATTAATGTGCATCTGGGAGGCAGCTCAAGGGCCCCACCTGCATCCAGGTGCCTGCTCTCCCTGCGCATGAGAGCTGATTATTAAATGTTCTGGGGTGTCGGAAGCTGGCTGGTAACCACAGCCATTCATAGAAACTACAGAAGAAACAAAGGTGAGAGCGCAGTCCTCCCGTCCTCATTATTTTACAATATTTTATCACAATTGGCCTCTTTGAGCTCATTTACTACAGTGTCTGCACATTGGAGATGCCGCAGAAACCCCTCTCCACCCCCATGTCTTTCCAGCCCTACAAGGGGATGCATCACTGCAGCCCGAAGTCAGCCATGAGGAGAATATTTACACCACAGACATTGGGAGGTGCTATAAATCAGAGCTTGCTCGTAGTTTTTTGTTTCTTTGTTTGCTTGCTGACTGTCTACGCTTAAGAAGGCCATGGGGAAGGCTCAGCAAGGCAGATTACATAAAGGCGCGTGTTCTGTCATCAGTACAGTGAGGAGAACCAAAAGTCAAGGTTTTCCAGGATTGGAAAACTATTACCTAATGCAGCAAAAAAACCCCACGTGGGTGGTCGATGTACATGTGCAGTCCCAACGCACATCTTGCATGATTCGCTCCTGTCCTACTCACACAGGCAAACACGACACCCACCGATGTTCAGACTGGGGCTCACGCTTGGCCATCTGTGCTGGGAAACGCGTGCTGATGCAGGGGCGGGTGAGCTCCCCAGGCGGGTGATGGCGCCCGGGAGTCAGTGGACCGTGCGGAATTGCAATACAGAGTATCATAGATTTTCTTCGTGTTTATTTTGATTATTTCTTAAACCTCGACTTTCGGTGCGACTCACAATGTCATAACCACAGACACATGTGCTTTTGTGTAATCAGCCTTGCTAACACTTTCTCCATCGCCTTAAGTGTAGACAGTCAGCAGACAAACACCAAACACCACAAGGCACACTCTGTATCGCTAACCCATACACAATAACCTCACACCTTCCTTTCCCAGAGATAAACACTGGCGAGCCTTGTCCTGGCTCTGGCCAGCACCAGCTGGGTACACCCTGTAGGGCTGGCTGAGCGAGCACCCGGCAATCAGGGCTTAGGTAAAAAGACCTTTGACTAATTCTAGGACTGGGGTGGGGAAAGTATTCAGAAGGCTGGCAGGTCTCACAGTAAGAAGTGATGCCACACAGAAGGGTGGGGGCATTGGAATAACCCACAAGAGCGCCCAGGGGCCAAGGCTAGGAGAGTTTGAGCAGTGAAATAAACAACGTAGTGTCTGCGTATCGCCCAAAGCACACAGCAGATACATAGCGGCCCACGCTGGTGCAAACACCTGATTGAGTAAATAAATGGGGGGAAAACCCTCTTCCTTCCCGAAGGATCCACCCCCCTGCAGGGGCTGGCAGCCTCCTCGCTGTCCCTCTCCCCTCTCCTTTGCCAGTGGGCTACACACAGACTTGCTTCTGAAGCAGAGAGCATAGAAAGAGAGAGAAGCAGCGACTTCACAGTGGAGGATGCCGGTGCGCAGGGCTTCGCGGAGAGAGAAGCTAACCTCCCAAGGACGCATATAGGATATAGGATATCGGAGACCCTGGATACGATGGGCCGGAAAGACACTTTCCTTGCGTGACTGGCTTTGTGAAAGCCCACGGCTGCAATCCAATCGGAAAAAAGCATCTGATAAACCAGGGAGGACGTTCTCCAGGCTACCTGGAGACCTACTGAGCACGTAGGAGGACTTGGCAGGTCAAGGGCAGGACAGATGTAAATCACAGAATTAGCGCTGGAGACCAGAAGGGGGCGCTATTGGCACCAAGGCAAAGCGGGGCCTAGCAGCAGCTCCTGGACTGTTGCCAGCACTGAAAGCCGGGCGCTACCCCAAGAAAGGATAAACTGTGTTCAGAATTTTCAATGCCAGAAATCACAGCGCGCATTCTAGCGCACAGACCTCCAGCTTAACTATTGCTCTTAGGTGTTGGGGCTTAAAGAAAGCGTCTTTGTTCACAAAGCTGTTTATTTGGATTTTCACCAGTTCGGCTACTTTTTGAAAGTCTCCTAACGTACTGTTTTTTCTTTCTCCCAAGTCCTAATTAGTTTCCTGGTGAATCCATAAAATAGGAACTAGAGTCTAATGAGAAACACCCAGTCTTGCACCCCTACCTAGGAGTCTGCTCCTGGGGTGATCTGCAGAGTGGCTCTGGGGGGGGGGGGGGGAGAGGGTCCGTCTTGAGAACCCCACTTATTGACGCTTCTGGGCCCAGAGCCCCTCCTCCCTCTGCCAGGCTCTCCTGCTGCATTCTAAGCACAAGCAGGCTTTGATGTTGCTCCAAGCAGGATAAGGCAGCTGGGTAGTGACAGCAGGGAAAAAAAAAAAAAAACTGGCCCAGATTTTAACAGCTAAATGTGATGGATGGGCCATCCCAGCTGGAAAGCTCCAGGGAGCTATGGACCTTCTTGGAGCCTAGATTTAGGGCTGCTCTGGGTCCCCAACCCCAGGGTCCGGCCTAGATCCCCTCCACTGGATTTATTTATGCTCAACCTCCTCCGGTAAAGGATTGTGAGTCTCACAGCCTTCGTCTCTGCAGCCCTGGGAGCTGGGGTGTGCGCACACGCCCCTTCTCTGGGAATACCAGAACGGATATCGAGGAACCGGAGGCTCGAGGTGCCTACTGGCTCCCTTGAGAGCACCCTGGGCAGCAGCGGCAGATCTCGACTCTGACCACCCCCATCCTGCCTCCCGCGGCTGCATGCTCCCGTGATCGGGCAGATACAGGCGTGTTTCACGTTGCATTTTGCTGAAACTGGGCGGGACTTTAGGCCACGCTCCCCGGGACATTTTGATGGGGGAGGGGTAGCGTAACAGGTGCTTGGGACTGAGCATTCACTCAGGACAGACGGCCACTCTGCCGCTTTACAGGCAGATATTCTCCCAACAAAGCGAGGACTCCACAGAGCGCTGACCTGCCTAAAAAACAACTTTTGTTTTCAAAAGCACACACCAGCTTCCCTGTCCGGTCTCCGCCTGTTTGGGAAAAGTCTGCGGTTGGCCACCGCGCCATTCTCGCATGTCATTCCAAGAAATGCCCAGAAGAGGGCGCGGGCACTCGCTCCTGCCGGGACCAGCTGGGCGGGTCAGACCCTGGCAGCATCGTGCCCACCCCCCCCCCGCCCCCCGAGGGTCGCCACCCTATGGCCTTGTCTCGGCCCCTGGCTGCACTAGGACAACACAGCAGGCCCCCCCACCCTCACCCCCAGCCCAACCAGCGGGCTGGACTCACCGAAGATGGGTTTTCCATGACCAGTTCATAAGCCAGCCCTCCAGAACCAAACCTTAGGACGTCTCCAGGTAACAGCTTCACAGCCACATTCTGAATGTGGCACTCGTTGACGAAGGTGCCGTTGCGGGAATTGAAGTCCTGGAGAACAAAGCTGCCCTCCGCCTCATTATATTCAATGAGCGCGTGATGGTTGTCGATGTCAGCAGACTGCAATGGAAGAAGAGGAGAGTCATGACAAGGGGACCGGCATTCCTGGGGCTCCTCAGCTTAGGTGTCACGGGCCCTGTGTCACAGGACACACCTCAAATCGCCAGATTGTGAATCAGAGAGGTTAAGGACTTGCCGAGCCACTCACCTGCTGCTGGGTGGGGCTGAGATATGGGCTTTGTCTGACTCCAGACCCCAAGTAGGTGTCCAGATTGTTGCAGGGAGAATCAGCACAGAGACAAAGGGAACCTGGGGAGTCGGCTGGGGCACATGTCTGTCTGGGGATTGACCACTTTGTTCCCCTCACCCCGCACGAGCAGGCTTTTAGCAAGACATAAAGCACAAATGGCCCAGATAACCCAGAGAGGTCAGCTGCTAAGTGACAAGTGTCAATTTTCTTGGAAAACCCCAATTTAAGTATAGGTTGTGGGTCATTCAGGAGAGGTGCTGTAAGTGATTGCTGTTCACTCGTTTGTTGTATTCATTTAAAAAATGACATGCGTTAGCATATTGCTGAAAGTGAGAACTAGAAAAAAGCACAAAGAAGACATTAAAACCACGCACAATCCTGTTCCCCAGAGGCACACGGGTTAGCACTGTGGGTGGGTCTCTCTCTCTCTCCTTACTATTTTTTTAAAAAAGGATTAAACAAAACTGAGATGATACCCCACATCAGTTTTTTAAAAGCACCTTGATGGGGCCCTCACTGGTGGTGCAGCGGGTTAAAGCACAGCACCAAGAAGCTAAAGCCACTTCAGCATGAGTTCGATCCCCAGCCCCAGAGATGACCACATGGCGCAGCAGACCTCTCCTGACCCACCCGCAGCTCCCCTCGGCATTGTACTTTGTCAGTCAGCCTGTTCTACTCTCTACTGTCTCTGGTGAATCCTCTCACTGCCCCTGAGCCTCTGGCCTGTACCCCAGTTCTATATGCATAAATAAATAAATCTTTAAAAAAAAACCTTGATGTATAATGAATGTTTCCCCATATAAAGTTATATCTGTTGCTTCTTAAAACCTACTCAGAGTTTATAACCACAGGTGATCCAATAAGGGGCTTGGTGTGGCCACATATCCTGAAAAGAAAGAGACCCCAGGCAGCGTATTTGTTGGTGATGATGGTGGTGGTGGTGGGAGGAGGCAGGAGATTCCCCTTTCACTTTGATTAAAAGAACAAGAAATTCTCAATGCTTAGAAGAAAGTACTCCATTCTCCCTGGCCTCAGGGTCCTGGCCTGTGGGGTACAGGGCATACATGAAGTCTTGTATCCAGTCAGGATACTGCTAGTCTGAGGAAATCCACTCCAGACTGCGATTTTTGAGTTATTTTCTAAGTTTATCTTCTCAGAGTGCTCATCCAACTTTTCTACAAAGAACTTGTACTTAAAAACTACACTAAGGCTCATGATATAATAATGGCCAATAGCTTGTGTTAATAGTATACTAGCTTATATTCATAGACTATTTTAATGAAACATTACAACCTAGAATATGCTTAGTGCTTTACTGCATCATCACACCTCATCTTCAGAGTAATCCACAGAAATAGTTCTCCATTTTGGAGAACAGGAAACCAAAGCATTGAATGATTTAAATTTGCCCAAAGTCATCCGACTTGACTAGTTTGACTTGTATTCAGGTTTGACCACTTTGCAAATCTCTACCAAGCATTTTGTCCCTCAAAATATTAAAATACAGAAAGAAAGCACTGGTAGCTATAATAATTTCAGATGAGACAGACTTCAGAGCAAGGAAAGTTCTCAGAGATAAAGTGGGATATTACATAATGTCAATTCTCCAAGTAGACATAATAATCCTAATATGTGTGTGCTTAATAATAGAGTCTGAGAATATCTGAGGCAAAAGCCATTGAACTGCAAGGAGAAATAGACACATTCACCACAATAGTTTGAGATGTTATATTCCTCATCAGCAATGGACAAATCCAGCAGGTAGAAAATTTGTAATGATAACGTTGACTCAAACAGTCCTGTTAATCATCTGGCTCTTGTTGATTTTATAGAGTAACTCCATCCAACAACAACAAATATACACATTCTTTTCAAGTTCACACAGAACATTCACCAAGATAGATCACATTCTTGGCCACAAAACACACCTTAACAAATTTAAAAGAATAGAAATTTTGCAAAGAATGCTCTCCAAACCCAATGAAATTCAACTAGAAAACTATGGCAGGAAGCAGGAAAGTCCCAATATACTTGATTAAACAATACGTTTTTAACTAGCATATAGGTCAAGGATGAAGTCTCAAGAGAAATAAAAAATTATCTTGAATTAAAAGAAAATGAAAGTAAACCTTATCAAAATTTGTGGGATGCAGTGAAAGCAGTGTTTGATGGGACATAAATATAATTGAATGTATATATTAGAAAAGAAGAAGGAGCTAAATCAACAATTGATCCCTTCATTTTAGAAAACTAGAGAGTAATATATGCCTAACACAAGCAGCAGGAAAGTAAAATTTAGAACAGAAATGAAAGAAAGAAATAAAAAATCAGGAAAAAAATAGAGATGATCAATGAAACCAAAGCTGGTTATTTGAAAATATCAATACAACCGACAAGCCTTTAGCAGACTAAACAAGAAAAAAGAAAGCTACAAATTACTAAAATCAGAAATGAAAGATATGTCATCTCCACTGCCTCCTTAGACATTAGCAGGACATATGATGAAGGGAACATTATGAATTATTCTAAGTCCAAAATTGGATGACATAGACTAAATGGGTCAATTTCACGAATGATATAACCTGCCAAAACTTGCACCATAGAATTAGATCGTCCGAATAGGCCCATATCTACTACAGAGTTGAATCAATAACTAATAATCTTCCCAAACAGGAAGCACCAGACATAGATGGGTTTGTTAAGGAATTCTATTGAACACCTTTTTTTTAAAATTTATTTTTACATCATTCCTCATTGTGGGCCTTTTCCCATCTCCGTCGTCATCCCCATGAACTTCCCACCACCACTTCACCCGTGTGCCATCACCACAGTCCCGTGCACCTTCACGCCACCCCCCCCCATCTGTGATCCCATTTCCCACTCCACCCCCATAAAATGTCTCTGGTATATAGTTGTTCATTGTTTTTCATTTTTTCTTTACTACAGTTTTTTTTTCCCATTGAATATTTAAAGAATCAATTATACTAGTTACCTGTAATTTCTTACAGAAACTAGAAGCAAAAGGAACATTTTGTAATTTATTCTATGAGCCAACTTTTTATAAATCCCCAAACCAGATAAAGAAGGAAAACTGCAGATCAATATCTCACATGAACATAGATGCTAATTCCTCAACAAAACATGAGCAAATAGAAACAAAAGTATATAAAAAGAAATATATCCCACAGCCAAGTGAAATGTATTCCAGGTATGTAAGGTGGTTTTTTGAAAATTAAGGTAATTCATCACATCAATGTGTTAAAGAGGAAAATCAAATGATAATATCAATGAAGAAAGAACATGTGACATACCCAACATCCATTCATAATTTTAAAATAGCTTGAGAAATTGAGAATAGTGGGTGTTTCTTCAACCTTAAAAAGTCCAAGTCCCAACACTACAAAAGTCCTAACACTGACTCATATTCTTGGTGAGAGCCAGGAACTTCCCTATTAAGATCAGAATAGGGCAAGGATGCCTCTTTTACCACTCCTTTTAATTTTGTGTGGGATGTTCTAGATAATGCAAGAAGAAAAGAAAAGCAAAGGAAGGAAGAAACAAAATTGTTTTTGATTGTGTAGAAAATCTTAAGGACTAGAACAAAACAAAACAATTGGCACTAATAAGCAATTATAGCAAGGTTGCAGGATACAAAGTTAATATGCAGTCATTGCTTTCCTATGTATTAGCAATAAACAACTAGCCTATGACATTAAAAGCACAATATCATTTACTAACAAAATATGCATAAATTATAGCTGAAGAAGACTATAAAATATTGACAAAAGAAATCAAAGAAAACCTAAGCTCATAAAAAATATAAGTACTCATTTATTTTAGGGCACATTTGAAGCATTTTGATTTATAGTTGCCCAGAACAGGAAGCAAGCAAGCAGTCCTTTAAGAGGTCAAGGAATAAACAACTTGTGGTATATCCATATAAAAATAAATGAGCTATCAAACCAGGAAAAGATATGGAGGACCCCAAATTTATAGTGTTTAGTGAAAGACGCTACTCTGAAAAGGCTACCTAGTATATGATTTGCACTGTAGAAAATTCTGGGGAATGTAAGATAATATAAGTAGTAAAGACATCAGGGGTTGTATTAAGTGCTCAGATAGAATAGGCTGGGATGGACAGGTGGAGCACGGGATTTTGAGGGCAGTGAAATCACCCTGTAAACTGCTTTAATAGCAGATACTCGTCATTTTACTTTTGTGAAAACCCACAGAAAGTACAACACAGATTGAGCCTCAATATAGATGACAGGCTTTAGTTAATAATAATTTATCAATATTGGCTCATCATTTGTGACATATATATTATAGTTGCCCCAAACTGGAATGCAGAATGTTAGTGAAGGGGGAAGCTCTGTGTGTATGGGAAAGCCACACCATTGGCTCTTTCCTGTAAACCTTAAACTGTTCTAAACAATAAAGTATTTTACAAAACACATTAGTTCATTGGTAAATGCTATGCACATCACTTTCACACCATTCTCACTGATCACTTGTCTTGGTTCTCTAAGCCTTGCTTAATCCTTCAAAGAGAGAAACTCTGTGATGTCTTGTGTTTTTCTTTTCCCAGACATTAGTACTTTCAATTCCTCAAAAGCTTTTAAGCCATTATTAAGAAATCAAAGCAGGCAGGAAGTTTTGAATGAGCCACAAAATGGGGAATGTTTCTGCGAAATGTTAGGCCAAGAGAGAGTTTCCTAGGAATCCCCCTAGTACAGCTGCTTCCTCTGGAAAATTTCTAACAGGTACTATGAGACACAGCCCTTCTGTTAAGGTAGGCTGGATGTAGAGC